ATAGCTTCAGAGAGAGGCTGCGGCGGGAGGAGGCAAGCCGAACAGAAGGAGCATCATGGCGCGCACCAGGCTCAAGAAGGTAACTATAACAAGTGGGAGAGTGAGATAGCTTCAGAGGGAGAAAGGGAAAGAAAACTCAGGTTGAGAAAGAAACCAAAGGCTTACGCGGCCCACAGCAGCCTCAAGAAGGTCAGTAGCACAGCGGACTGGGCAACACAGAAAAGAAGAAGCCATGCCGCTGTGGAGAGGGAAGACTCAGGTACAAAAAAGAACGAAAATTGCTCGTATCAGGCAGAAAATAAGAAAGGCATCATGGCGCGCACCAGGCTCAAGAAGGTAACTACACTAAAGCCCGGTCTGTGAGCACGTAGAATTTCGTCCAATGACCCCAAGCTACCCATCCTTATCGCTCGCGCGTAATTATATTGCTGTCGCGACTGTGCGACGGGCGCCGGCAGTGAGTGTGCGAGCGCGACAGCAATATAAGTAGGCAAGCCGAGCAGAAGGAGCATCATGGCGCGCACCAGGCTCAAGAAGGTAACTATAACAAGTGGGAGAGTGAGATAGCTTCAGAGAGAGAGAGAGAGAGAGACTTCGGCGGGAGGAGGCCGAGCGCGAGGAGAAGGAGCGCCTCGCGCGCAAACAACGCGTCGAGGCCATCATGGCGCGCACCAGGCTCAAGAAGGTAACTACACTAAAGCCCGGTCTGTGAGCACGCAGAATTTCGTCCAATGACCCCAAGCTGCCCAGCCTTGTCGCTCGCGCTTAATTATATTGCTGTCGCGACTGTGCGACGCGTACCCGCAGTGAGTGTGCGATAAGGATAGCTTGGGGTCATTGGACAAAATTCTACGTGCTCGGCGACCAGACATACAACAAGTGGGGAGAGATAGCTTCAGAGAGAGACTGCGGCGGGAGGAGGCAAGCCGAGGAGAAGCCATCATGGCGCTCACCCGCACCAGGCTCAAGAAGGTAACTACACTAAAGCCCGGTCTGTGAGCACGTAGAATTTTGTCCAATGACCCCAACCTACCCATCCTTGTCGCTCGCGCGTAATTATATTCGGGATATAGACGGGATTCTACGTGCTCACGGACCAGGCTTTATACAACAAGCGGGAGAGTGAAATAGCTTCAGAGAGAGAGGGAGAGGCTGCGGCGGGAGGAGGCCGAGCGCGAGGAGAAGGAACGCCTCGCGCGCAAACAGCGCGTCGAGGCCATCATGGCATGCACGAAACTTATTTTGACAATCAAAATTGTCACATTATCGTTTAATTCGAAAGTTTTGTATCGAATTTTGTCGAATACGCAAACGATTCGAAGACGAAAATTGTTCATGCTAGAGGTCCAGGTCCTTGCTGGGCTCTCCGTATCGCATCGCATCTTCTGTCGAGCTTCGTCATAGAGGTTACATTCCCAAAGTGCGTGATCGCGGCTCTCTTCGACTTCCTCGCCGCATGGGCATAGTGCAGACTCGCACAGCGTCATCCTGTGTAGGCGCTGCCTGAAGCAACCGTGCTCAGGTAACATTTGGGAAACCACGTAATCAGATTCAACCCAGCCGAGTGAGAGCCTCACCGCCACGATGGGAAAGAACTGGTACAGCTGACGTCCGTCTCGCTGTGGGATAGTGAGATAGCTTCAGAGGGAGAGGCTGCGGCGGGAGGAGGCCGAGCGCGAGCAGAAGGAGCGCCTCGCGCGCAAACAGCGCGTCGAGGCCATCATGGCGCGCACCAGGCTCAAGAAGGTAACTAAAGCCTGGTCCGTGAGCACGTAGAATCCCGTCCAATGACCCCTAGCTGCCCATCCTTGTCGCTCGCACGTAATTATATTGCTGTCGCGACTGTGCGACGGGCGCCCGCAGTGAATATGCGAGCGCGACAGCAACATAATTATTTTTTTTTTTTTTTTTTTTTTTTTTGTCAGAGCAAGTTTACGTGCCTCTCTCCCGGCATGGTCGGTCACCTGGTATGGAAAGAGCCATTCCTGGTGGTGTGCATTGAAGTCTCCCAAAATGACTAACTGCGCAGAAGGGTATCGGGCTAGTGCCTTATCAGCTGATTGGCTGAGGTAGTCGAACAGCCGGGTTGTCTCAAGGTCTCCGCTGTGCGAACGGTAAACACAGGCATAGAGTAATTTCTCCAGGCCCGTGTCGACTAAAGCCCAAATCACAGAGAATCCGGGAACCTCCAGGCATTTGAGACGTTTAATGCAAATGTCGTCACGAGCATAGACGCAAACTCCCGCCCGGGCTTGAAATTTATGTTCCAATGTGTACCCAGGGTAGAGCAAGTACGCCGCGTCAGCTGGACATTTGATCTGTGTCTCTGTGAGGAACAGCAGCTGCGGTTTTTCAGTCTCAAGGTGGTGGTGGACTGCAGAGAGATTGGAGTGCAGCCCTCGTATGTTGGTGAGGTGCACTTTGAGTGGGAGGACGTGCAACCGCTGTTTAACTTTTTTCCTTGTTCTGTGTACCATTTTATTATTTATTGAGAGTGAATAAGTGGAGGGAGTATGGCAGTTGAGCGAGGCGTTTTCATGTACGCCCGGAGAGGCAGACGGGGTTAACAGACCGTTTAGAGCCTGACCTGGAGACCGCGGGGACGCCCGAACCCCCCCAGAGATGGCCACCTGGTCCTCCCGTCCGGTCGCCAACCGGCAAGGTGGAGCATCCTGGGATTTTTCGCTAGGTGGCGGGGCAGCCTTTCACGTGTGGCTGGCAAGCTACTTGGGCCCCCAACTTCCTGCGGTCAGCCAGCGGTGCACTGTGCTTCGGATCCCGCTAGCCTCCAGAATCAGGCGCCCGATGCGCCTACCATATAATATAATTATGGGGAGAGTGAGATTGCTTCAAGAGAGAGGCTGCGGCGGGAGGAGGCCGAGTGCATAACGCAGTCAATGATTGTATAATTCAAGCATTACTAGAGGTATGGGAACGGCATGGTGAACGTCCATAGAAATTATTTGGTACACCCTATGCGCGTACGCAACGCCCGTAGCCTAGTCAGTCCCAATAACGTCAACCCCGCTCTCTTCCCTCAGTGCCGTGCGTAGTTCTCGCCGGGACACGAAGCGACCGTGCGTCGTCGAGCGCTCGTCAAAACTAGAGGATAATTAAATTCCATCTAAAGTCCGATTTTTAATTCGACGGAATTCTGACAGCTGTCATTTTTTGACAATTCAGATGTAATATGCCTTTTTTGCTTTGAATTATTAATAAATAATATGAAATGAAATTTCATTAAGTACAACTTACAAGAATGAACTATTGTTTGTTTTGTGAATTTAATGTACATTAATTATTATGTACATTTTAGAGATTAAATAGAAAAAAACGTGTTTTTAACACAGTAAAACAACATATTATCATAAATGAAAATATGTATTGATCATCAATCATCATTATCGTCATCATAATCAACTTGGATTATAAAATTGGCATCTCGTTAAATTGGTTATTTTATGAAGCTAAGATTTTATTAACAAATGGATTTTCATAAAAAAGGTTTGTAACCCATGGATTATAGGCCAGGGAGTCCAGTAATAGAAAAATAATTTCCCAATTTTTTTTGTAACTTCAAAAATATGATAATAAAAATTCAAATATCCAATTTGAAATGATCAGTACATTTTTAAGCCTTAGTTTTTCAAGTGAAACCTTAAATTCAAGAAAGGATTATTTTTTAATTTGTGAAAATGCTCTCCATTCTTAGTGGGAACGTTTCAATGTTGGCCACACTTCTGAAATGTCAAAATTCCGTCGAATTAAAAATTAGAGTATAGGTTAAAAGAGTATAAGCAGGCACTTCGTGTTCAAATTTTAAACGCTTCGGGCCCTTTAACTCGGTCTCGAAATCAACGACATCAACTTTCAGAAGTCGGGCGAGACGAATTTGCTCGAAACTGAAGTAAAGTGCGTGTGCACACTATCTTACTTCGAATAAGTTCAGCCAACTTTGCAAGTAGTGTAGGTTAGGTATAAAGATGATACTTAACACTAGAGTACACGCGCGGACTACTATAGTAGACCAGGGTAACATTTTACGCTATAACTTTTTGAAAACTTGCGCCAGAGAGCTGGCATTCCAGGAAAGCCTCGTTTACTAAATTTGTCAGTAAGCCAGTAAAGCTTGGGTCGCTAGAGTCTGCGCACTTTTCTAAAATTGGCCGTCAAAACTGCGGGTCTAGTCAAAAGCTCGAAATCACTCGACAAAAAAATTATGAAAGACTTGTAAGAAATGGATTTACACCGTGTACCAGGCAATAGAAAGTCATGAATACTATGCCAGATAAAAAACTAATCATATTTTTTCAGTCAATTTTTTTTTGTTAACATTGGTCTCAAAGTGCAATTTTGGTCCAAAAAATTTACAACTTTTAAATCTGTTTATAATGTTTAATCCCAAATAGTTATATAAAAAAACTTTAGTTATAAAATAACTATAATAAACACTTTTATCATTTACATAGTAATTCTATTCATAAATTGCTTATAAACTGATTTACAGTGATTTTGAATTGGCTTACCAGAGTAGGCCGCGCGTGTATTCGTGTAAAAAAAGGGGCGCGTGTACTGCAGTGTTAATACATTTTATTTTATTTTATTTTTTTATTTTATTTTATTTTATTAAGGAAAACAAACAGTTGTACAATAAGAATTACAATTAAAACCTTATGTAAACATTTAAGTGATTATACAACCAACACCGTTATCCACAAGAGGACTGTGGGTCTAGAATGCGCGCCGCGAAACGATGTAACCGCGCGATTTTATCGATTTAACGTGATAAGTCCATACATTTACCATCCAAAATAATTGATAAGATTCTATCACGGAGCGCACTATAAACCCACTGTATCTACTAATAAAAGTGAAAAGGCACAGATAGAAAAAACAAAGATATTAAAGCACAAGACGTGCCTGGATCATTTATACTTAATAAATGATCCTACCCTTGCTTTAACTTCCCCATGTGCTAACGATCTTCTTCCGTCTTCCAGCAACAAGAAGAAGAGAAGAAGCAGCAGGAGAGCAAAACCGCGCCCGCGCCCGCGCCGCTCGACAACGGGAACGCGGTCGCCACCGGCGACCTGCTCGGCCTGCCCACTAGTCAGGTGAGATTGATCATCCCTTAAAGATCGTTTCCCGCGCTTTCCTCAACCAAAAAGTGGTGGATGAAACGAACTACATATAGTAGTGGATCCTGTAAGTCTACAAGCCTCTCCCAAATGTACCTAATGCCTTTTAAATTCATAAATAGTGATCACTGAGCTATTTTGGTTCCTTAAACCCTGTTCTGGCAAAAACTTCGAGTTCTGAACAGAATTGAGTATGAAAAAGATTAAGAAATAACAACAATTAACATAACTCGTACACGTGACCGATACTTCAGGGTTCAATCCTTAACTAGCGATACTAGACGTAAAAGGTACGCCAAGTTGCAATCGAATGAACAAATTATATTAGGGACTAGCGGCCGCCCGCGACTTCGTACGCGTGGATCCCGTTTTACCCCCTTAGGGATGGAGTTTCGTAAAATCCTTTCTTAGCGGATGCCTACGTCATAACATCTACCTGCATGCCAAATTTCAGCCCGATCCGTCCAGTGGTTTGGGCTGTGCGTTGATAGATCATTCAGTCAGTCAGTCAGTCACCTTTGAGTTATTGATACAGTCCCACAAGCTATTAATAGTTGGTAAAGCCCGGTCCGTGAGCACGTAGAATTTACGTAGTAGCACGTAAAATTCTACGTGCTCACGGACCAGACTATAGTAAAAGAGCTTTTCATAAGCCTCCTTGCAAAATAAACCAATTTGTAACTGTAACTGGTATAGAACGTGTCCCAAAACTCAAGGATAAGCCGGCGCCGCAGGATGGACATAGTCATGACTACTTTAGGAAAAATAAGAAAAAAATCTGTCTTAATTATTTTTTAAATTAAGGCTTATCATTGAATTTTGGGACACGTTGTATAAACAAGTAAACAAACTGACCACATGTTTTATTCACAGTCCGCGGAGGCTCCGCAGGCGGCGGAGCCGGCGCGCAACAACGGCAACGCGCACGCCGACCCGCTGGGGCTGTCCCGACCACACGACGTGAGTACACAACATACGGCATCATCAGGTCATTCGGTCTCCACTAAGGGGCACGACCCTCCTGTAGTGGCCTACACTATCCACGCTGGCCATGGCTTGGAAAGGCACCACAGTATACTCTCTCTCTCTCTAGTCTCAGAGTCAAAATCAAAAATCAAAATCAAAAACATTTATTCTGTTTAGACCACAAGTGGCACTTATGAACATCAAAATATGTATCGTAAATAATAAAAAAAGAAAAGGTAGCCCTTATAAGTAAATATACTCTCTTTATTCAGTCTCAGACTTGTTTTCTACTAACGTACAAGTAGACAATCTGTGGCCTAATTCACGTACTTTGACAGTCAAGATCTCGCTGACGTTCAGAAGTCGTCCCATTGAAAAACAGTTCTAAATCTGTATTCACAAGGGTCATTTTGATAGAACGATTACTCGATAATAGAATCGCAACTCAGTGTTTTGTTGTCGTTGAAGTTTTGTTACGTGAGTGACTGAATGAAGGCGAGATGTAATTTAAACAACCAATAAATTTTATTTATTTACGCGTCTCCTCACCGCTCAGATAATATGTGCGATGTTTTCTAACAAAACACATGGCATAAAGCGGGACAGAGTAGATGTTAAACGAAACGGAAAAAAAACCTTTAAAAAAAATTCCACAGATCTCCGTTCTACTTCCCTTTTTTGGTAATGTAATAACCTACTCGTTATACCACTTTTGTCCGATTTGGTTGAAAAAATCACCCTCAACCCAACGACTAACAATGACTATGAACTTACTGTGGCCCTGGCAGTTTTGACTGATTCTTAGTAAATGTGACAGATTGATATTCAGTAAATTATTTGGAGAGAAAGTTTCAATTCTCATTAGCATCAAATATTCTTCACACGTCACCAACAACTCGAACTCCATTGCAGACTGAGGACACGAGCCAAGAGGAGTCGGCTAAGCCCGTCCCGGAGGCTAGCAACGGCAACCACCCGGCGCGCGTCTCGGCCGCCTTCATCCAGTCCGAGCTGAGGGGCGAAGCCCTAACCAAGGCCGAGGACTACGCCGCGCACAACGGACACAACGCGGCGCACCCGCTCACGCTTCAGAACGCCATCTAACGGCCAGCGGTGGCACTAGCAAGGATATTGTCGGCCCAAGGCGTAGATATTGGCTGGTTTGTGAAAGGTTAGATTTGCAGCTGGTTTGTTAATGAGGGCCATCGTTTTAGCGGTCACCAGTTTGCGCCACTGTAGAGTAAGGTCCTGTCACTTGCTAGTAGCGAAGACAGTGGCACCAACTGGTGAGCGCTAAAGTGGTAGGACTATCGCATTTGCACTCATCAAGATGGCGCCACTGTAGAGTAAGGTCCTGTCAATCGCCAGGGGTGCCAACTGTTAAGTATAAAAACGATAGCCCTCATAAATAAAGTCTGGCTTGTTCCATTTTTGAGTTGCAGTCAGGTTTTGTTTAGACACTGGCTGGTTTGATATTTTAAAAAATAAAAGTGGCTTGTTCCATTTTTGAGTTGCGGTCAGGTTTTGATCAAAAGCACTGGCTGGTTTGATATCTAATAAAAATAAAAGTCTGGCTTGTTCCATTTTTGAGTTGCGGTCAGGTTTTGTTCAGACACTGGCTGGTTGGATATTTAAAAAAAGTGTGGCTTGTTCCATTTTTGAGTTGCGGTCAGGTTTTGGTCAAAAGCACTGGCTGGTTCGATATTTAAAAATAAAAGTCTGGCTTGTTCCATTTTTGAGTTGCGGTCAGGTTTGTTCAGAAGCACTGGCTGGTTGATTGATGAAGATATTTAAAAACAATAGCGTTAACTTTTTTTTAAATAAGTGACCGAGGCGTAGATGTTGGAAAGACAGAGGTGTTTAAAATTGTCTGATCGTAACCTTTATTTTATTTTCCACGGAGTGAGTTCAAGGCTTAATATTGGACTGGTCAGGTAGCAGCAGTTTTATTTAAAACTTAATTAAATAGTATTCCTATCATATTAAATCACTACTATAGTTGATGATAAATAAATACGTAATAATTTCATATAAGGAATTTACTTGGCATGAACCAGTGAACTTGAATAAACCGAATAATGACTAGCTAACAATTGAGCTAATACTAAATTATGTATGAAATTACACTCGAGTAATTGAAGACTATAATAGGCTTCAAGTTATTCTTGAGTGAATCATGAATCATATTCGAGTGTCGATAATATTGGCCTAAGTTTCTGTCAACGACTGAGCTACCTGACCAGACGAATATCGTAATCTGTGTTCTGATTTTTATCTTATTTTGGTGCTGCACAAGTGTTTTACTTTCAATAAAAAGTGACTTTATAGTTAATGTTAGTTGGGTTAGCGGATTGCCAGTTATAGTTATAGATATTTATACGGTTTGAATAGGATCAAAGAGTAGGTAGTGCGAAAAAAATGGCGACGGTTGCACACGCTCGGATTTAATGGTTTAAAATTAGTACAAAATAATCTGGGGCAATAGTGACTCTTTTTAGAACAAACGTCGCTGTATTGAAATTATTAGAAAAGGATAAAAGAATGTTGGATGAAGAGTTTATGAAGGTGCTAACGAAGTGAAGGAACGATTCAATAAAATATTTAAATCAAAGAAATGATAAAATAAAGAGAAAGGTATGGTATTTTATGCCAGAAGGTTTGAAAACAGCCAATATGTACGCGTTGTTGGTGAATGACGCTCTTATTAAATAGATGAAGCATTGACTGAGCTAAAATGAACGGATTTCATTAAAAAAACTCAGTGGGAAATAATTTCCCACTTGTTACATAAACTGAAGGCTTTTAAAGAAATTCAGTTTTAGCGATGTCAATGCGTATGATATTGAACGGGAAATGTCGGAAGAACTAAATTATAATAATTATTATAATTAATAATGCATTTATATTGCAACTCCTTGATTCAACTAAGATTGAGATGTAGCTTCTTACCTTGCGTATAGGCGAATAACCGAACGTCATCGCTTCCAAGTCATTTACAAATAAATAATATTTTCATACAGTTAACATCGCGTTAGCCGGGAGTGTATCATTAGGATCAGGGGATATAACATTAATGAGTCGTTTCATTAAAAAGTATCATTAATTCGCGTTTGATGTTATCACGATAGGTTGTGTATAATATACCGTGTAGCAGCGGTTTGTATTAAATTCGTGTAAATTATAAGTTTCTATTTATTGTGATGTTTTTTTAATCCATGCCGGTAGAAATCAATTGCTTTCCTCGTCGTACTGTGGGAGGGAGAGGAAGGCGTGTGAGAGCGGGATAGAATATGTAATGAATTGCGTCCGATTTTTCGTGCGTTGGAAAATGCACCTTACGGCTCAGCTTGAATACTGATTCGCTTGGACTATGCTGTAGCAACGAAGACAATTCGAAAGCAAAAGAACGTGTACAATGTATTCTGAAGTTTATAAACGGTTACCAAATCAGTTTGTCGAATTTTAAAGTTTGTTTAATAAGATGTTTCCATCGCAAATGTATTTTCATAACCGTGTATAAACTTGTTTGCGAGATGCCTAATAAATGGGAGCTCTGAATGATTTGTTACATAATGTTGTTTGGAAATAGTCTTTAGATTTACGTCAATTTGAACAGCTTGATCCTGGGTCGGCTGATCTACCTTAAAAAGCAATATTTGCAATATTGATTTACGTTTTCAAAACATATCACTCAGAATGCTTGTTCAAAATATACAGATCAATCTCCCCTCCTACATTTTTTTACAATACCTTAATTTTTTTCTTTACTATAGCTCAATCAACTTGTGAAATATACAGATGCCATGAGCGTAAATAAATATTGTAATGATTACTTGGTCGCTCTCACAAACGCACTACTTGTGATGAAAGTTAATGTATCACCAATATAAAAATATAAGAGCTTTTTGAAACTATCTTCTATTTTATTAAAATCAATAGAACGATTCAAACTTTACAGATGATAATATGAATGTCATATTAGTACAAAAAATCAAACAAACAAATGATGATGATAAACTTCCTAAAAATCTATGAAATAGTTAAAATAACAGATAGTTTGAAAAGGCCAAGTTGTGTTAAGCAAGCCAAGATATCCTAAAATGGAATCCAATAAATAATAATATCAATAAGTTATTTAACAATCACTTTATACGACAATTGTATGATAAGTAGTTAGCGTTACAAAATAATAATTATTAATAACAATTTATTCTTATATTTCCATTAATTCATGCAGTTTTTTGTCATTTAATTTTTGTTTTCCACTAATATTTTTTTGCTAGTTTTAGGTTCTTATTATTATGCGTTGTAATGCTCATTCAATATCGTGGTCAAATAAACTTTTTTGGTAAAATATAATACATAAATAACCTTAATATATTTACTGTTCTGCTGCTTCCAATAAAATACATCACTTAGTTACTCTGCGTTTCAAAAAGTGGTATTACTGAATGATATAATGTGAACAAAAAAGTATATTTGTCCATCAAAGGTCCTCTTATATGTACGACTTTATATTTCAAACTAAAGTTTGCTCTAATACTTATGTAAAATACTATTATTGTGTTTCTGCAATACACAATTTAGAACCTGCTGAATAAAGTCGTTTTCAGTTAAATTTATATTAGAACTTGTTCGGCAACTATAGAACTGAGGCCTTATTCACATATTTTGCCAATAGGAAATAGGTGAATATTTGTAATTGATCTGCGATACGCGTAGGTAGATAAACAATTGTATCAAGCTATTTCATAGCCTTATAAGTCTTTGTTAAATATTTTTACCCGTCGTGGGCTCCGTTTGACTTACCTGAGATATTGTGAGGGCGTGGCCAAAAAAGATAAATTATAAAAAGTACATGAGAAGTCTCTTTTGAAGTGTTTAAATCAATGATGTCTCATGACGTCATAATATTTACAGAATATTTGTCTGTCTGACAGCTCATAGGTTGACTTACTGACCAAATATGACTAACATTCCTATGTGGTATAAATTTGCCTCCTACCCTACACATTTATCTCAGGAATTGTCCCAAACGGCAGTTATTAGCTTTTGCATAATCTGTGGCTGGAACGAGTAATGAATTTATTGTTAATTTTACAAAAACAGACAGTAAAGTGGACAATTTATTTGATATGATATGACTGATCGTTCATTTTTACATGTATAGCTTGTTTTTATTACTTGTTTCAGAATGTACTTGCACAGGCTTAATCTTTTACATTATTAGGTAGAATATCGGAATATTCACTCTCTCTTTGACTAAATGAAAAAGATTAAATTCCTTTTTTTCGCTACAGTTAACGGCGGAAGATATAAAAAATGTTCACCAAAAAATCAAGTTGCAAAGTTTCAGAGATAGTGAAAAATCGATGCCATTATCATTATACATAAATAAACCATATCTTGTACTATGTAGTCCTCAATAAAATAAATCAGCTTTGTTACTTGCACTTTTATGTAAATATTTATTTTAATTTACCTTTTTCGTCATTGGGCATTGCAAATTATTGAGAACAAAATACAGTTCGTAATTTTGTGTATTTCAACTTTCATGTTGAAATTATTCGGAATGCCTAGAAGTAAAGGTGAATGAACAATATAATTTTGTATAGTGTTATAACTGAGATATATTATACCAAGATACTTGGGTCGCTTACTGAGCATTAGTATACTATTTTTCTTTTGCTAAACCATATACTTTCAAACGATATAATCATGTACTTTGATTATTTTTTGCGAATTTTGTATGGTTGATTGTATGAATAATTTGCACGAGTGTGATGGGCCACCTTTATAAACTGTTGTTTTCGTAGAATGACTCCCTATTACATACTATATTAATAAAACTATGATAGCCATAATGTATCAATAAACTGTTAAAATAATCTATTAAAAATATCCATGCTTAATATTTACTCGACAGAGATCATGCTACGAAAATCACAATAATAATTATTATTGGTGTATAATTGTATCGTTAACATAGCTTGTTGCAATATTATTAGCAATTATTATAAAGGCGTTGTAGATACATTTTATAAATTGACACGAATAACGGAACCCCAATATTCAAAATGGCGGCCTGTCACTTCGCGTGTGTGCGTGGGCGCGGACGAAGGTTGTTAGCTGTCACTATAAACATGTATGTAATGTATTTATGTATATCACTTCAAGACATGGCTTCTATGTACGTTCTATCTATTCTATTATTATGTTAGCAATCGATGGATTTATAAGGAAAAAGTTTTAATAAAAAATATGAAATTTACACGACTGGTTTCATTTTTATATATATAAAAGAAAGTCGTGTTAGTTACTTCGCTTATAACTCAAGAACGGCTGAACCGATTTAGCTGAAAATTGTCAGGGAGGTAGTTTAGAGCCAGGAGAAGGACATAGGATACTTTTTATCCCGTTCGAAATTAAAAAAAAAGTTGCTTATTTATTGCCATTAAGGCGGAACAAAGTTCGCCGGGTCAGCTAGTTTGTAATAAAATAGACATTCCAATAGGTCCAGCGCTTAACCACGCTTAACTCAATCAGTGCTTGAGGCATGGGAGCGGCAAGGGGAGTGATTTTGTGACGGTCAAACGTCCGCGTCAGCGAGACGTCAGATTTGTACGACCTGTCACGTCGTAATATGTCAATGTCACCCCTCCCGTGTCACCTCCCATGACCTCAGGCACTGACTGAGAGTTAAGTGCTAGGTAGCTCCTAAATAATATCTGGCCTTTGTAGCACGTTTGTAGTTTACCACATTACTAAGTGCGAAATAAAATTAAACTACAACTTCCGCCAATTTATAATCTGGCTGTATTGAGTACAAATCTGTACAATGCCTTTGCCTCATACATATTCGAATTAAAAAAAACTACAACGTTCTTTTTTCAAAATGTGTTTTTACGTTCCAAATTCAAATGGGAGCCATTTGAACGCATTTGAATTATTATTATCTGTCATCGAGCACGTGGTGTGAAAAAAATAAAAATAAAAGAGGGTAATCTCAAAAGAAATACTGTCATAGATTTCAGTTCGATCTCCGCGATCATGGAATCGTTTTGTGTCTGTGTTTATGTGCAATTAAAATGATTTAAGTGCTGTGTTGAATTATAATATGCGTGTTAAAAGTGTTTTTTGGTGAATTTTGCAATGAAACTAGTGTAACGAACGAACGATCGGTCCTGCGCTGCCCGCATCCAGGTGCTTCCCGAGAAACGAAAGGTATGTAGCAGTTCAATAGTACTTTTAGATAATCGCCGTTCTTTCCTTGTCAAGTCTGTGTTTGTAGACAAAGCAACGTTAATGACTATGTTGTTCTTTTTATTGGTCTCAATAATGCGTATTCGAAGCACACTGGCTTCGCCTTTGTCGAAATTCCACTTGGAACTCGAACCCAGATCTATTCTTGAAAAATTTTATAAAAAAAAATAAAACCGACTCCAAAAAACCTACACTAAAACGTAGAAAAATAATTACTAATTACCTACTTATTTATTAGGACGAATTATTAATATTTATGTAGGTATACCATGATTGATACTTAGCCTGACCAGGAACATAAAAACCCTGGCATAGAGGCGCTTCAATTGCATTTGATAGTGCAACACTGAGTACAGTCGTACCTGTGTTAAATTAATAGGCTAACTTTATGTATCAGGATTCAGGATTACGGGCTAATTTGATATTTTCATAAATTAACGAAAAAATATTATTATAGGTAACCTGATTTAAATAAATTAAATGAAACCATCAATCGAGCTAGTAGATTTATTTTATTATTCATCAATAATCAAATTCAGAACTTGAATATTCAACTGCAATGTCTGCTCATGAACGCTTCAAACTCGGTACTTCTTTCCCAATCCCATAAAATTATACACTTAGAAAGTGACAAAATTTTTAAAATAGGTAGTTGAAACAAACCACAGCTAATTTTCATAGTGGACTGTACTATACGATAAACATGTCAGTCAATTTGACAACCTTTGTCGGAAACATTATTCAATGAAAATATTGTCCGAACCCTTAGTATTTCTCTTCGACAAATACTTTAACACATTGTGAACCACTTTTCTTTCACGACTATAAAAATATTTTAGCAATTTAATTCATAAAACCCATTTAAAATAAAGTTTGTTTACACTTTGACAGCAATAGACTGACATGCAAGGTGACATGTCAATGAAGTTTTCAGTTACTGTTGCCATTAAAAGAAATTAGTACCATTAGTTTTCCGCAACATGGCGAGGGTTTTTATGTTCCTGGTCAGGCTATACCAAGTTTATACTTAGGTAATGGACGAGCACGTTCAAGCTGGAAATCTCACACCCGTATTCACAAACGATGCTTGCTTAAGTGAAGCAGCAAATCGAACGCACAGCGTTGAATAGAGCTCTATGATTGGTTCGTGTGCGACCCTATGCACTGTGAGACCTCGTAGTAATGTTTGTCAATGCGGGCGTCAATTTAGAAAGTTAGTGAGCTTTAGTTATGAAGGTTGCTATAATTTCGTAATACTCACGTACTCGTATGTAAAAGACGTAATGTTATAAAACGCGTTCTATTACGCCAGTTAAAAACAACTCCATCATTGAAGGTATTCCATAGCCGTGGAAGCCGTTCCTTTAATAATGCAAGCAGTTGGTCCCTCGAGCCGCCCTTTCAACTGTAATGACATGCTACTACGAGTACCTACATACTTACGAAACAGGCCTATTACCAAGGTCGACTGTGGAAAAGTTTTGTAGAAAAAATAATGTTTTGATGTCTATGTTACGGCTAAAGATAGGTGTGAACATAAACTTAAGATTAGCCGGCTAAACTTAAGTTCATCTTTGATGAGGTGTTAATGTTAGTTTCTTCTATCTTTAGCCGGCTAAACTTAAGTGTAACCGCAGGCCCTTGGCTAAAAATGTAGAAGGAAATTGAAAAGGAAACAATGTAATAATGTTTACTATTTTGACACGAAAACTTTAATAAAAATAATCACTTTGATTAAACATGCACTTTTATGTACCTATGTAGGTATTCAAAATTACAATTATTACAATAACAAATTATTAATTACTTAAAACAATATCTACCTAATCATTAAAATAAAATAAAAAGGAACCATTTGGTTATTACAGAATCTTCTGTAGGTATTTAAAATTACAAAATAAAAGTGCACGCGCGTTGCCTCCCCACCGCCCCCTCAAGCCCTCCGCCGGCCTGGCACGCCCATCGAACACATTTTTGGCCGTTTCGTTTTGGCTAATGTGCACATTAGCCGGCTAAAGATGGAATATCACGACGCAAACTAACATGTTATCGAACTTTAGCTGCTTCTCGAAGATAAACTTAAGTTTAGCCGGCTAATCTTAAGTTTGTGTTCACAACTATCTTTAGCCGTAACATCTACAATCTATATGCTTTGGTTTCTGGATACCTACTTTTCGAAGAAACGGAGTCTTTCAGTGTCTTGGCCTACTTTTAGCTTAGTCCAAGTCGGATTGGATTAAAAAAATTTTTCTTCCGGCAACCGGGCAAAAAATAAATCTACTCTAGAATGGGCCCAGTTGCCGAAAGAAAAAATATTGAAAAATTCAATCCGGTGACTTGGCCAGTGACCAAGTTAAAAGTTAGCCAAGTCACTGGAAGACTCCGAAAGCGTATACCTACGATGTTCGGAGTTCTTGTCAGGCAAGTTAAAGTTTAGTTAATTGTCACAAGTTCAACCATAATACTAGTTATTCTGTGCCACAATTAATTGTATTTGTTATCACGACGAAATTATCAAAAATGCTAGTCAACATGCTAGTACTACACGACTGTATCAATGACTTTTTTATTTGAAAGACTTCAATTCATGACAAAATTCTGTACTAGCTGTACTAACTTTAAACTTCGTAGAAGCAGTTGATAGTTCGTAGTAAAGCTTCGTAGTAAGCTTCGTTAGCTTCGATGTGTAGTTTCCTTAATACCTTCTGAGTGCGATTAATAAGTTATTACTCATGCAAAAAACCCGAAGACATTTATGTACTTTACTGTAGGTACTAACTAAGCTAAGTATGTGTTACGAGTGGGCTCACCACAATAGTAGAGCGTCGGCGGGGTTCGAACCCGCGTTCCTCGGATGTCGAATCGGTTAGTCCGTCCTCATTCCCGTTCGGCTACCGTGGCTTATGAGAATGGGTAAGTAGTTACTTTTCAAAGTATAATTCGGTGTATTTGTTGACTGCAACATTCTTTAGTAAAACAAGTTAATATTGGCAACTGCGTTTATTATTATTTCCACTTTATGTTACACTGTTACATTTTGCCAGCCTTAACAAAATGCAAAGATTTCCAAGTTAAATACAATAAGATATTATTTATTTATTCTAAAATTAAAAGTAAGACATCGATATTACGTTTAGGTATAGTTAAAGTTTGTTGATTTGCGACTTATTAGATTGATCAAAATTTTAAAAATAAGTTTACTTACAATTGAAAAATTTCGCTCCGAACTATCTACTGATCATTAACATTTACATAATTATATGCTAGCCTTCAACAATGAGAAAAACTTTATTAACACCAATTAGAGATTGTATTTAGAAAAATCTATAAAATATTCTATATTTAAAACAATTTTATATCATTCAATAGAAAATAAATTACTTTACATGGATTAACTATTCGATTATATTTTTAACTAATCGACAATACCACTTAGCGTTTTTCATAACCTCTCATACAATGAACATAAATTACTCGTAACTGAATATTTAAAAATATCTACTTACTTAAGTAATTTTGTAATTTGACTAAAAGCAAAAGATCAAACCGAAAAAAAAAACAAATAAACATAAAGCAACCTTAATTTAAATTAAACATAACATCTACTTAAAAGAAAAGAAAAGCTGAAAAATCTAGAAAAGGTTTGACGAAAAACGCTCCGTGACGTCATCACAACATGGACACTGACTAGAATGTTTCTTCTCCCGAACGCTAGAATAAGCCTTTCTTAGAACGGCGAGGGCTGCTTACATAGGATATGTTATACAATGAAGTCTTGAAGGTGCGTGGCCGAAGACACTTAGTTTGGGATTTCCATTTCGAGACTCGATTCTGAAAAGAGAAATCGATTTAGTACTTGATTCAAAAAAGGTAAACTATGCCTACGAATAGGTAGCCTACTTTTATTCTTTGGAAAACATGTCGATTAATTGCAAAAGGAATAATTTTGTACTATTAACATGATTTTTCCCCGGGACAAACTTGACCTTCACTAGTTGCGTTTTTATTGGCGGTCAAGCTGTAGATACTGGCTACACAGGAGTTGCAGTGGTAGGAAAGAGAGGTGGGAATATCCCTAGGCGTGTAAGTAGGTAATCGTTTACATTAAAACATGCATAAAAATATTTAGTTAGGTACCTAATCAAAAAATAAGTACCTATTAATTAATAACTTCATTAGCCGATCAAACAAAACATCGAAAAAAAACTAGGTCCGGATATTTTTAGCTTTAGTTACAAACTCATGATGTTAAAAAACTGACGTAAAAACGTAAAAAATATGCCCGAATTTCCGATACGAGATACTCAGTGAACCCCAAAGTTTTCAAACGTTACGAAGTTGACTACCCTCCCAAAAAATCCTTTAAAAGATAAAGTTTACTTAAGTAAATGTTTGCACAGGAACGAAAAGTTAATGCGTATAAAAAACACCTGTTTTTGGAGCCGATATCTAATAGATAGTCGAAACAAACTGCTCCCCCAAAAACGACCAAAAAGTTTGTTTTGATTTTGTTACGCAAATTTCGGCGATTCTTTTGCAAAAGTTTGTCAAAGGGTTTACTTTAATGACATCAGTTTGATAAATTATAAAATCAATGTTACAGCTGAAACTATATCTCCTTTTTCTAGAGAATCTGGTTAAGTAATAAACGATATTAACTTAAATATGTCCCTAAAACGTAACGTAATTAAAGCAAATTCCTTACCGTCAGTCCATTTCTTGCCGCGCATGCCGACGAAACCCATTTGGGCCTTTCTCTTCGGCCACGGTCCGTTGGGGCTGAGCAAAAACCTGATCTCCTGGGGGCCACTGTTCTTCAGGTCCTTTTTGCCGCGGACACCGATGAATTTACCCCTGAAGCTCAAATCGTACGGACGCTTATTCTGAATAGACTTCTTTCCACGGACTCCGAAAAACTGGTGAATATTCGCAGCGCGCTTGTCCACTTCGTTTGAAATCCTTTCGTTGGAGAATTCCGCGTTAATGTCCGGGACGTCAGTAGCCGATTCGAGGGAGTTCGAGCGTTCGACTTTCTGTAAATATTCGTTTAAAATCTCGTTCAGAATCGGGAACTCATCTCCACCACTGAAGCTTTTCACGTCCTCGTTCGAAGCGAAGTCGATTTGCCCTATCAGAGAGCCGGCTCCTCTTTTGGGGACATAGTCGTAATTTCCGTAGTACGTTTCGGGGAGGTAGAGTTCTTTCTTGCCTCTCATTCCGACGAAGCCCATGGGTGCTCTCTTCTCTTCTGGTTCTTCAAGGAGGTCGAATATGCTCTTTTTTCCTTTGACTCCGACGAAGAACTGTGGTTTTCGTTTGTAGAACTGTTCTGTGGGCTCGTCATACTTCTTGCCGCGCATGCCCACGAAGCCTTGAGGCACGCGTTTCTCCATCTCTTGGGCGGAGATCACGTAGACCAGCTGGATGGTGATGAACAGGAAACATGTCCTTGGTGTGACCATTTTGATGGGATCTGAAATAGAAGAAAAGTTTTGCTTTAGCAATGGCTCTAATTACAGAAATAGGAAGGGTTAAAAAAACTACTTGTTTTTCTTAACTATGTTCATAAATGAACAATCACCGTTTTAACACTGTGGCTTAACCATCACGAAGTCCGTTATTTCTAATGTTAATTCATAAGTATTTCACTTTAATTTGTCACAATACCATACTACACCTAACTTATAATTAAATTTTGTTCATAACAAGGTCGTAAATAATGTGGAAGGGAATAGAAAACCTAAAATTACCATCGTGCTTATATTTAACAGCTAAATGGAATGCTGACAGATTAATAGCATGTTGTTTATTTAAATGGTCACTAATTATAGACTTACGAGTAAATACGAGTTGACGTTTTATCCTTTTTCTGATTTCCCAATTTTCAAATTTCCTCGGCTGATTTTAATACTTTTTTGACTATGTATAATCTAAATTAGTAAAAGATTCCACCCTAGTCGAATACAATGCTCACACTAGTCGGAAGAACTGAAGATACTAAGCTGTTTGTTTCATCAGACTGTACTAATAATCAATATTTACATCAACACTTATTGTAGTTGTGTCTTGACGATTACCTAATAGCTGGTAACATTTCCTATACGTGACTGCATCATTCATAAGTAAACATTATTTCTCATGAAACGCTTAGAGTGGGAAATGAATCTTCTATTTATTTTGTTCAACTAGCCAGTCCCTGGGTTGTCTAGTAGAGATCGCTTCCTAATGGGCAAGACCGCCTAATATGAGTTGTTTCAATTTTATACTCGTATTTCTTTCATTTGTCAGTTTTGTGTGGTAGTAGAACTCTCCTCAAAAATATACGTACACTTAGGAAAGAGTTAAAAACATCTTGACACTTATTATCTTTCGTCACGGGTGTTGTGTGTGAAGGATGGAAATACTAGCTTATTTTAGGTGAGAAAGAGAAGGCGCATTTGCTAATGAGCTCGTCACAAGAAGTCTGGAGGATGTGGAGGCTTTGCTAATGGCAAGCCTTAGGCATTCAACATGGAAGTTTTGTGTTGCCCTGACAATCGACTGGCGGTTGTGTTAAAATTATGACGCGAGGTTATACCTTTAGAACTTTTTTTTATCGATGTTAAGCAAGATAAGCAACGTGAAAAATTACAATACAGTAGAATCTGTTTAGTACGACGTCGCTTATAATGACCGACCTCTTTTAGCGACGCATATTTTTTTATTTTGTTGGTTGATTTGTTTACTTGAAAATGACTTTTTTAGTACGACGTCATATCATCGGTCCCTTGAGCGTCGTTATAATCGGATTCTACTACAATTACATACAAAATGTAGAGTAGAGCTTGCTGTTTGTACTGTTTTTTTTAGCTTGATTCACAAATATTCCTAAGCAGTAGTAGAGTTAATGCAAAAAGATTTAAGTTACTGAAGCGTGTTCGTTCGTTTGTCCACTGCTGGACAAAGGCCTCCCCCAAGGTTTTCCTGAATCGTGTAAAACTGTTAATTAAATACCATACTTTCGGATTTGAATCCCCCATCGGCTAATTTAGTAACAAGTAAGATAGGCTTCAAAGTAAGTATTGTTTCCCTTAGGAAATAATATCGGGAAGTCTAATAAGACTGTGTGGTTATCGATCTTATTATAACATAATTAGAGAAAAACATTAGTTCCGGAAAACTAGTACGTGCTATTCATCGTAATTCGCATCCAACTTTAATAAGTTTATTATTTTATCCTACAGTATGTTAAGGTCTACGAAGTTCGCAGAAAATATAAATAAGTAGGCTACGTGATTATTAGTTGACCGATAGTTGGGCCCGATTTTAATTTATATGAAGAATTGGCCAAATCAAATCACTGTGCGCACTTCCATACATGCCCATTGCCCATACTGATCAAATGCCTGACTAACATATCGGCCGACGAAAAATCGATAGTCAGGCTTAATCAAAATGTGTAATATCCATCTGTCAAATCCTAATGCTGCCAAGCTGTCAAACAGTCCGCAAACGAGTGGGGTCGCGTTGTAATTACGCGGTTACGGACCGTTTTCGGTGCGACCGCGGGTTTTCAGAATGCATGTAATGGGCCCAAATGAAAGGCTGTCACCTGCTTCATATTCGCCCACGCAGTTACGGCGATTCACGTATTTGCAGTGTGTGCCTCCTACGCATTTAGGAGCTACGAGTATATGTGTGTGCTACACTAGTAGTACATACTAATGTACAAATAAAGACGACAAGGTGGTGGGGTTGACAACACATTAGACTCTACATTCAGAAATTTTCATTCATGAATCTTTATTAATTAAAAGTGAGCTGAATCTAAATGGTAGGAAAATAAATAATAGTCCAATCATTCCAATTTAAGGAAGATGAAATCAGGACTTATATAAAATTTTGAGCCACCACTTATTTACTTTTATACCAATAATCATATTTTGGTTTTAAAACTAAATAGTTTAATTTCGTCGCACACGACTACCCAACGACCCCATAAGTCACGGTAATCCAGCCGAAACTAATCAAACACAGATAAAACTTTTAACAACTGCCGATTGTGGAACACCCTCCGATTGACCGCCGATTAATTATAGTTTCAACTGGTTTTTGCTGACCCCCGCCGGTTATGAGAATCGACATTTCTCAAAATACGATTACCAAAGAGGTAACATACAAATTGAGAAACTTGATGAGGACAAAAAATACCCAATCCTTCAATGCCGAACTCTACTAACGGCTATGTCAAGATTATGAAAATTGTTCTTTATAATATTAATGTGATTAATAAAAAAACCAACTCCAAAAAACCGACTTTGATAATATATGTATGTATCATTATCATTATCAATATCATCGGGTCAGTTAGTTTCTACTGCAGAAGAACGACTCTTTAATTACCTAGAGACCAATGAAGGATTTGGCAACTCTGGTCAGAAGCGTTGAGTAGGCCTGATGTTCAATTAACATTCACATGAGAAGAGTGAGAACGGTCCAGTTTTGTTCTGCTGGAACCACGTGGCCAACTGAAATGCGTTTTAATTTCCCAACCAAGATCTTACCTAGGATAAAGCAATTCTGCTCATCCCGACCACCACGTAATAACCTGTGACAGCAGCACTAATAACCCCCAATTAGGCTGTTATGTCCAGAAGCGGGCGCGAGCGTTTTAGCGGCGTCCATTAGGCGGGCGGCGACTAGGGCGGGCGGCGATATATTGTATTGCGATGCACGTCGGGCATTCGAGTTGTATCGAATTTGCTGTGATAGGTCGTGTATTTTCAGCGAATATGAATTTACGTGTGGTAAAGTTAAAAATCTTCCATTTATCTCTAGATAATTGGACTGGATTTTAAAAATAACTTGATGGTGATGTGTTAAAGTTTAGAACTTTTGAGCGAAAATATCTGAAGTAATTTTATGTTTGTTTTCAGAATATTACCTAAGTAATGTATAGGTAATAGAAGACGATATTATTGTAGTATCAGAAGTTCTAAACACAAACATTTAATTGTAAACAAAACTTTTATTACTTAAAAACAATCTTGTAGAGTTGGAATTTCTCGATTTGTGTCCTTAATGTTGTACTNATTGTACAAATACAAACAATTATTATACATAAAAATATTAAGTATTTAATATTATTTCCACACCACACGATTGATTTACTCACCCACGTAGTGATTCCCCACAATGTTGTTATAAAAGCATTTCTTCACATTGTTATTTTTATCTTTGTGTGATATTTGAACATTCGGAATTATCTTAAGAAACTCTTGAGAGCGATAGCAGTTCTATTATGTTAGACAATGGAATAACATTTGTTGGTTTCTTTACATTCTGGGGGATTCGCTCGTATTTCTTTTCTGAAAATTTTACGCGAAAGTTAAAAAGTGATTTTATAAGGCATTTCATACGTGTTATTTTTTATTTTCTGCGAAAGGTTCTTTTGTATGTAAACAAAAGATATTGTTTTAAAAGTAGGTCAAGCATTAAGACCATGTACCTTAAATGACTATGTACGAATAAATATCTTTGAAGATTTTATACTAGATTGTTTTAACCTCCATTTTTAGAAATGGTCATGCTCCTGTAGTAGAAACTAAATAACCTGATAATAATACAACAACACTTCAAATTAAGCCTTGTACAATTTAATTTTAACTGGGATTAAAACCTTTCATCAACCATGTTAACATTGAACCAAATCTTCTCACTATATCCCTAATGACTGGCATAACAGCTTCATTTGACTAGATACTTACAATAAATATTCACATGTTTTAATCTAATATCAGAGCTCAAGAGCCAAGAGCCTCGACCACCACCCAAAAAACACGTCGACCCGGGACCAAGTTTGTACACGATTCTGTGACTGCCACATAAATTAAACTAACATAGTTATTGTTATTATATTAGGGGACATTCGTACGTTTTTCATTACGAGAGACCGTGTGCTGAATATGTTGTCCCCACAATTGGGGTGTAATCAGTAAACCCACACTAAACGAGTAGCAGACGACGAGAAGAAAATCGGCAAGACTTGGAGCGAGATCAAACTTGAAGCTCAAGACCGAACGCGATGGAGGACTGAGGAGCCCTCTGCCCCATCTAGGGGACATAGGACCTTAAGTCAAGTAAGTCACACTAAACAAATCCATGATCAATGTCAGATCAAAACCATCTATGTGATTACGTTACCAACAATGTACTCCACTATGAATTTGAACCAAGTGCACACCAAGGGTTAGACTATTTCTTAAACTAAAAATAATATGGCATTGTTATCCAGGTTTACGCATGAAAGTCAAATTCTAGCCTATTTGAGCTACCTAACTAGCGGAAACTGACTGAAAATTAAGTTGCAAGATTTGACCAAAAAAATCATAGCACTCCAAGCAAACAAAAGCTTAGAGTAAAATAATAAAACTTAACTGAGAAACTGAAAAATGTCTCTCTCATGCGCACTTTTCTAAACTTTATCGTGCATTC